GCAACATGTATTATAGAGAAATGCTAATTCTTATCCGATGCTCTTTTATCTGCATGGTTCAAAGTCTCCTATTTTTATTACTACTAATGGTTCAATTTATGTCAAAAGGTTCCTAGCATATATTATCGAGTTACTGTATCGAGTCAACTTTCATTAGGGAGTTACATTGCTATACAAACAAACTTCATTTTAAGTTTCTGGGCAACACTTTCCACTAAATGCTTCTGTTTATGGTCAACAATAAGGAAAAAATGTACTATTTCTACAAAAAATGTACAATATTATATTTGGTACAGAAGTGTATAATATCATAATATTCTAGAATTTGACAAGACTATAAGCTTTGACTGGATGGTAGACCTGCTTTGTTAACCCATGGTTGAGCAGCATGATCTAATTAAATGTTTACTCCAGTTGAATATTCGTGGCCACATAGAGCTGCAAATTGTTTGTGAATTGCATAAGCATGGTTGTTAGCTAATGGCATCCAATCAATAAGTACTTTTTTGGCATCTTTCTGTCTCGAAGAGGACACAGTTCCTGGTAGCAAAGTGAGAGGTTCCTCTTCTGCTAGATTGCACTTTATTATAAGCAAAATGATATGTTAGCTGGCCTTTTGACACTTCGGCATCGAGTTTTGAAAAAAGTTATTTGTGACTGGTGCAATGAAAATTTTGCTTATTTCATTTTTTTGCTAGGTCAAGTTTAGTTTGGATGCAAATGGGCTGCACTTATTGATGGACTGGTTCGGTTTGGATTGCAAGAGAAAACAGTTTGGTGTGGTCTAAGAATGGATTCATTTCTTCGGGTCCGAATGGTTTGAACCCTCTGGTTTTGATAGGGGAAAACAGGCAAGGTGGATACTTAGTTTTCCTTCCCCTTTTTGTGCTAACTCTTTTAGTTTGTTGGACCTAAATGTTTGGGTGGTACATATTTCACAATATTATTAGTTGGTGTTTAAATATATGAAGAAAGGTTTCCATTTGCTTCTGATTGTGGATGTAGGAGGTTTTAGAAATTGTCCAAGCTAATCACACCAGTTACTTGGCGATGAACATTTCTATCTTTTCATTTTTTGCTCTCGTGGAAATCGGCACTAGACCACATCCATCCAGTATCAAAAGGTATCATGCTTCTGACTTTCCAGAATCTGTGGTAAAGTAGCTTACCTGCTTAGTTTGAGATTCCAGTTCATGTGGTCATTGATGACTTTGTTATGATACTCTAGGCTCATTAATTTAGGGGTATGATTTGTTTCCTTTCGGATCTATCCTGTATTTATATTGCAGAAATAAGACATGAAGTTAGGCAAAGTCATCCCTATTAGGTGCAACTGTATCCTGGCCGAAAACGGATTGTAGCTTGTATGCATAGATCATTTCTCTTGGCTGATAACAGAGCACAAAAATAATGGAATAATCAGATGATTATATATTGCAGCTAACAGTTCCTGTCTTCGTGCCTCTGAAACTTCAGTTTGGAATCTATAATTTGGTGAATTGTTTCATTTGGGGTGCCGCAGCTCGAGCACTCCTTGCCTGCGGTCGCCGTCGCTGCAAGTGGGAGCGCCGCCGCCGCAGCTACGAGTGAGCTCGCCGTCGCTGCTACGGAAATTTTTTTCCCCGCTCGTGCGTGATTTCGGGGAGGGGTTGCGGCCTTGCGGGGAAGGGGAGCGGAGACGCATGCGACGCCTTGCGGGGACGGGGAGCGGAGACGCATGCGACCTCTGGGGTGGGAGATCCAAAGAATATCGGCCATCGGATATGTTGAGTAAGGAGAGAGAATGAGTGAGAGTTAATTTGGTACGCACGTTTTTAATGTTATCTTTTTCTATGTGCGTTTTGTGGGGTGGACGTAGTTTAGGTCATGACTGTAGAGGTGGGATTTGTTTGGTGGCTGTAGGATAATTTAAAGTTGTGTATTATAGGGGTAGACATACTTCTTGTATGGTTCTGAACTATGTCCATTTGCCTGCAGCTCCAAGAACCATGCAGTAGACAGGTGACAACAAATATGCTTGGTCGTTGTCTCTATCGACGGAATCAACGGAAGACATTTGAGCTACCAGGGAGACAATGTTGAAGGCTGAAATAGTTGCTAGGAATTATAAAAAAAAATCGTCAAATGTTTAGTGTAGTTTTGACGTGTTCTTGAGACATGTGCATTTGTATGTCTGTGATGTGATTCCCTGTTATTCTACTCGGAAGTCATCCATCATGCCACAAGAACTAATGGTTCGTGATGTCAGGAAAGCTGTCCTAATTGTTCAATTGCAACCTTGTAATTTTTCTTTTACATGAAAAAAATTGGTGCTTTACTCAGCTTCCTACCACTTTGGTTGTTTCTTGGAAAAAAATATAGTTGTTTGGTTGTTGTCGTGTGCATCCCTGAAATGCTGCCGTTGCATTAGCACGGGCATTATACTAGTCCAAGTAATCGAAAGCTTCTAGATGGATGATGACGAGATATCCTAGACGTTGGATAAGCATGGCTCCGCAAGCCATGTAATCTTCGGATGTCCCAACTGACTCCGGCGGCGCATGCAGCATGGGGCCAGTTGCGGATACTTCGCGCGTGCTAATAAACTTTAGGCGGTGCGTGCGTGCGGCCAGGAGCCCAGCTGCTACCCTAGCTGCTGTTGGGACCGGCGATCACCGCCGGAGCCAGGATCCTACCGGTGCACTGCGAAGCTCAGCGCGCGATCACCGCGAACACGACGTTCAGCCTGGAGAGAACACACGCGAGAGAGAAGAGAGTTTCACTGCAACTGGTGCAGCTGTTTTCTGATGCATTTCATTGTCTTTATCACGGGCCTTGATCCGAAACTCCCGCCACGACGTGCAGCTGCACGGTACGCCGTCATTTGCGAACGTCCGTGCGACATGCACGGCATGGCGGAGCCAGCCCCCTTGACGCGGTCATGACGCAGCGGCGTGCAGCCTCCGCCCCTGGCCACAATTCTACGCGAAAATACAAACGTGTTCATGACTTAACTGAACTATCTAAATGCACCTAACATGGATACAATGATCTGTCACGATTACAAGAGGCTTGGACAACAAATCACCCCCTTAATCGTGACACACATTACTGACACCGAGCTGTTGACGCGTCTCGACGAACTTGATTCTCCCAAGTGGTTTCGTCAGGATGTCTACAAGATGTTTGTCAGTGCTGATGTGCTCCACCTCTGCAATGACATCACTGATGCACTCTCTTATGTAATGATCTCTTATGTAATGATACCGAGTGTCAATGTGTTTGCTCCTTTCATGGTACACTGGATTCTTGCTCAACTCCAGAGCTGACTTGCTGTCCATCAGAAGCTTGAATTTCTATAGTTTCTCACCTGTCAAATCTACAATGAGCCTGCTCAGCCAAACTCCTTGGCATGCTGCTGAAGCTGCTGCAATATACTCAGCTTCACAGCTAGACAATGACACAACCCTTTGCTTCTATGAGGTCCATGTCACCACACTGCCATTCAAGAAAAACACAACACCTAATGTACTCTTCCTCTTCTTAAGATCACCAGCATGATCACTGTCAGAGTAACCCAATAGTTCCCGGTTTGTAGAGGTTCTACTGACAAATCTGCACCCATACTCAGAAGTTCCTGCTACATATCTGACAATTCTCTTTATAGCAGCCCAATGTTTAGTAGTAGGAGACTCCATGAACTTGGCCGACCATGCCCTCTTGAGAAGGCAATGTCCGGCCTGGTGTTCACTAGATATCTCAAGCTACCAACTATGCTTCGAATTTGGTCACATCTTTTGCAAGATCAGGCCTCCCTGTGTAATGACTTAATGTTTTGTTCCATTGGAGCATCAACTAGATTACAACTGTCATGCCACCTTTGTTCAACAATTCTTGTTGCATATGCTCTCCGGCATATAGTAATCTCTCTCAGTTTTGCTTCACTTCCATTCCTAGATAGTAGCTCAACAAGCCCAAGTCACTCATCTTTGAATGTTCTACGCTCATCTGCTTTGCTTGAACTCAAGGATCTTCTTGTTATCTCGCCCACAGATGATGAGATCATCAACATACACACCCAACAATAACAATGTGTCACCTTGCCCTCCTCGTGTAGGCTGCATGTTCCTCTTCACTTCTCAGAACCCCAATTTGACAAGCTCATGATCTAGCTTAGCATTCCGGTGCACAGGTGCTTGTTTGATCCATAAAGGGCTTTTTTCGGTTTCAACACCTTTCCGGATGCCTTGGATTGAGAAAAACTCGGAGGTGATGAGCATATACTTCCTCCTGTAAATCACCATTCAAGAAAGCAGATTTCACATCCATGTGATGCACTTCCCACTTTCCATGAGCAGTTAGTGCTAGAATCAGCCTGACAGTTTCTAACCTAGCAACAGGAGCAAATACCTCCTCATAATCCACCCCATGCCTCTGAGCATAACCTTTTGCAACAAGTCTTGCCTTGTGCTTGACAATGTTACCCTCTAGATCTCTTTTCACCTTATAAAACCACTTCAAACCTATTGCTTTGTGACCTTTTGGAAGGTCGCATAATACCAGTGTTGTTTTTCTGTATTGACTGCAGACTCACAATTCATTGCTTCTCTCCAAAGCATTCTTCTTCTAGTGCTTCATCAACTCCCATTGGTTCATCATTTGCCAAAGATACACACACCATTGTATTCATAGTCAAGGACTTCATCAAGAGAGTCAAGGAGATCATTTAGTGTTCGAATCTCGGTGGTCCTCCATCGGTGTTTTCAGAGTGTTGACTTGGTGGATTGCCCACACCACCACAAAGTGTGCCCGGTTGGAGCCTCGGACTGTTTGAGGGACTAGGTGTTGCTTCATTAGGACCCACAACACCCCTTGATCATTGACAACTCCCCTCTTCTTGTCTGCAGAAACTCTGCAGTTTGCTCTGTGTCGGTTACGCTCTGATACTCGATAATGCACAATGAATGTTTGATCTCTTCCATTGAACTAATCGAAGCTGCTTGGCTGCCTTTGGTCCAATCCTAGGCTAGATGTTCTTCAAAAATCACATCCCTACTGACCACTAGACAACCAGTAGATGGATCATAAATCCTGTATCCTTTTGTGCCTGATTCATAGCCAATGAAAACCATTTTTGATGATCTATCTGCCAGCTTACTCAGACTAGGACCATTGTGTTTTTCATGAGCCACACAGCCAAAAGTTCTCAGATGACTAACATTTGGTTTCTTCTTGTGCCAAGCTTTAAAAGGGGTTTTTCCAGATAGGCTCTTTATAGGTGACCTATTGAGAACATAAACAACAGTCAAAACTGCTTCACCCCAAAATTTTGTAAGAACCTTCATTGCCTTCAGCATACACCTTGACATCTCCACCACTGTTTGGTTTTGACGCTCCACTACCCCATTTTGCTGGGGAGAGTAAGGAGTAGTAGTGTAGTGTTTGATTCCTTGTTCATTATAGAAAATTGAGAACAAATGAGATGTGAACTCCCCCCCCCCTCTATCTGTTCTCAGAGCCTTTAGCTTAGTTTCAGACTCAACTTCAGCTCTAGTTTTGACTTTCTTGAAGTAATCTAAAGCCTGGTCCTTTGATTTCAACATCTCCACCCACATATATCTGCTATAATCATCAACTACTAACAGAAAATATGAGCAACCACCTGGGGTTTTTGGAGTGATGTGACCACACAAGTCTACATGAACTAATTCTAGTCCCTTTTCTGCTCTGAACTTTGAAGCTTGTGGAAAAGGAATTCTGTGTTGTTTCCCAAGGACACACCCATCACATACTTGCTCTACTCAGTTTACAGTTGGCATTCCATCTACCATCCTTTTACAACATAGATCTCTCAGAGCTCTAAAATTTAAGTGGCCAAATCTTGCATGCCAACGCCAAGCTACATCATCAGACTTTGCTAACAGACACACTGGTGGAACTAATCCAAACTTGATTGTGTACAATCTATTAGCTGTTCTTGGAGCAGAAATTAACAGAGTACATTCTTGATCAAACACACACAGTTTACCATCTCCTAGAGTGACCTTGAACCCTTTTCTTCTAACTGACCCAAACTAACAATGTTGCTCTTGAGTTTAGGGATGTAGTAGACGTCAGTTAGTACCTTATGTTGTTGATGATGACCTTGCATCACCACTGATCCAGCTCCATGGATCTCAACGCGCGAGCCTTCGCCAAAGCGCACGGTGCCGCGCACTCCTTCATCCAGTTGAGTCAGCGCCATGCGTGTCCCCGTCATATGATTGCTGGCACCGGTGTCCAGCACCCACACGCCATCAGGAACGTCAACAGGGATCATGTTCTCCGCCAGGTGCACGATCTGGGTTGGCCCGCGCACGACGTCGATGTCGCGCGTTGCCAGCATCAACGCCGACTGCTCCGCGCCACCCACCACCACATTTGCCTCTGGCTGCCGTGCCTCCTTCTTCTTCTTCTTGGGACGCTTGCAATCTTGTGCCCTAGTGCCCGTATATGCCACAATTACGGCAGCACCCCTTCCGCCTTGGCGTGCCCTCAGAGGTCAGTTTGACTGCTCCCGAGGCACCGCCATCTTAGCACGCCGCTGCCTTCCCCTTCGAGTGGCCAGCACTAGCACCGCCGCCTCCCTCCTTCGAGCCGGCATGGAAACGGTGCTTGTGTTTCTCAAGCCAGTCCTCTTCCGCGAGTAGAAGGCGTCCCGCCTTGTCGATGATCTGCTCGACCTTCTTGTCGAGTCGGTCCTCCGCCGCCCACAGACACCCCACCAGCTCGTCCACCGTCATCTTCTTCACATCGCAGAACATCTCGATGGAGACGACCACTTGATTTAAACGGGAAGGTACCATGCTCAAGAATTTCTTAACCACGCGAGCATCATCCACCATCTCACCAAGTGTCTTCAGGTTGGCGATGAGGTTGGTGATCCGCATACCGAAGTCATCGATCATCTCGCCCTCCTTAAACCCGATGTTCTCGAATTCTTTCAGCAGCCTTTGGGCGTTGACCTCCTTCACTCGATCAGCACCAAGACGCATGGTCTGCACCGCCTCCCATGCCTCCTTCACCGTCTTACGGCCACCGAGCGACTGCCACATGTCCTTCGGCACCGAACGCAGGAGCGCGCTCATGGCTTGGCGATCTTGCGACCGCTTGACGTTGGTGCCTGGATCGATCACATGCTAGATCTCCATCGCCTCGAGGTTGCACTGCATCAACATCGCCCACTCGGAGTAGTTTGACCGATCCAGCATCGGCCAGACCAGCGAGCTCTCCCAGACGCCAGACATGGCGCTCGGCAATGCGCCATCACCCATCTTCTTCTCCGGCTTCCTCCTCGGATTTGGCTTGAACTTCTTCAATGCAGGTGATCTCGGTGGGCTTATGGAGCCGCTATAGAACATGAACCGGCTCTGATACCACAGTGTTGGGACCGACGATAACCGCCGGAGCCAGGATCCTACCGGCGCACTACGAAGCTCAATGCGCGATCACCGCGAACACGACGTTCAGCCTGGAGAGAACACACGCGAGAGAGAAGAGAGTTTCACTGCAACTAGCACAGCTATTTTCTGATGCATTTCATTGTCTTTATCATGGGCCTTGATCCGCAACTCCCGCCATGACGTGCAGCTGCACGGTACGCCGTCATTTGCGAACGTCCGTGCGACATGCATGGCATGCATGCCATGGCGGAGCCAGCCCCCTTGACGCGGTCATGACGCAGTGGCGTGCAACCTCCGCCCCTGCCCACGATTCTACGCGAAAATACAAACGTGTTCACGACTTAACTGAACTATCTAAATGCACCTAACATGGATACAATGATTTGTCATGATTACAAGAGGCCTGGACAACAGCTGCTGCCTATATAAAGGACTCCAAGACTTCATGGGAGCGGGATGACAATCTGCATCTGAAGGACGATAAGGGCAGCCGCCGCTACGGTGCGGCACCAGGAGCAAGGAGACACCGACAGCCGGTCTACCAGCGCCATCCAGATGAGATCGACGCCTGGCTGATCATCGAGGAGCACGGAGAAGACGATGGCCGCACGGCTGCGCCGCCGGGCAAGCATCATCTACGCCTGCGCTAGAGGAGCGCTGCAGCGACGCAGCCCCTATTCATCTACTACGTGCCGTCGGCCAAGATGATGCAATGGCCACGAGAAGATCGCATGCGACCTGCCTCCTACAGCATCTACGAGGAGGCAGGAGCGTGATGAGTTACCGTCGTCTACCCGTGGATGGGCCGAAGAAGCGCCGGCAGCCTCTTTCGTTCCATCAATGCTACGACCCATGGAGGAGTCGTGTTCGTGCAGAGGCTCTCGGTGCGGATCGGCCGGAGGCAGCGGTAGCGATACCCAGATACGTGCCGCCGGGCAGATGAAGGACTGCTCCGTGCGCGGCGCTGGCTTCATCCAGCCCATCTATGCCGACGAGCAAGGAGACGCCGGTAGCCAGTCTACAAGTGCCATGGCCACTCTACTGCGCCACAGGAGCGCTGCCGCGCGCCGTCATGCGTCATGCAGCCACTGCTCATCTACTCCATCAACTGGCCCGCTGGCAGCTCTAGGTCTACACCGGATGCAGGCACCTAAGGTTAGAATGAATAGGAGCGTAAAGAGAATAACTAAGGTTCTCTTATGGTAAGCTATGTCTTCTACTATTCAACTGGGGACATTACTAGGGAAAGACACCAACAGAGGATGCTTGGATCCGCCAAGGTATAAGCCGTAGAGAGAGCACCGATAGGCCAGCATCTCCTTCAAACTCTTCCCCCACTCTCTATCTCACTATTATTTACAAGACTAGATCCTATGAAGGACTAATCTTCTCTTGATAGCTGGCTCCTGACGACGGGAATATGAATTAGGGTTTCAGGATGGCTCTGGGGAGGGGTAGAGGCTGCTATTTATTTATGGGGCGATCGCATCCTCTCCTCTAAGTAGCCTTATTGGTACTAAACTTTCCACCATATCTCATTAAAGCGCACATGGGCCTTTATGGGCTAAATTCGAATTGAGCCTATAAATGCATAGCATGGCTCTATCTCATCCCTCTATTTGAACCAAACGTCGAGCAACGGCGTAGATTGATCCTCAATGGTGGTGAAAGAACCGACGCCAAAGTTAAGACCCGACCAAAGAGACCCATAGGCCGACCGCCTGCAAGTGGGGCATCGGCGGCCCCACATGTCGACCATTCGAGGTCGCTTTGATGGATTGCCTTCGGTGTGTTCTAGATCCTTCCCAAGTAGTTTAGGTTATGGATAAACATGATTTGCTTTGACGAATAGGTCCACCTCGACGGTTTTCTAGATAAAACTCGCTAAAAACAAAGATTTACCAAAACTCGTGGAATTTATTAGTTTAAACCATAAACCTATGTTTGGTGATGAAATTAAGTATATATGGATGTTATGTTGAAGGTTTATAATTGGTGTTAGTGACCGTTAACAACGGCTCCAATCGGTCCACCAAATGTATGACGCGAGATACATGATGGTTTTTTCGATCGTCATGGTAAGTTAACCATGACGCATTTTTGAGTGTTTGTGACCAAAGTAATCCGTCATGTAAAGCCACATTCCTTGTAGTGAAACAATGCAACTACGAGGTTCGTGTCAGTCAAACTAGCTCAAGTTTGACCAAGTTTATATTAAATAGTATTAATGTTTATGTCTCCAAATAAATGTATTATGAAAATATATCCTATAACAAATTCAATGATACTTATTTTGTATCATGAATGTTAGTACTTTTTATATAAACTTAGTCAAAGTTCAGACTATTTGACTTCTCGAAAAGCGAGAATTGCAATCTTTTGTGGATGAAGGGAGTATTGTATCAGTTGTTTTGTTTTTTGTTTTTGTTTTTGCAATGTAACATATAAGATGAGCTCCATGAAAGAAGGAATGGCGATAATATAACAGACACATATAATAATTATGAGTGCATGCAAGCTTCTTGCCCACGCGATGGTATTAGTCGTCGTCATTCCTTATTCTTTTTTTTTAGGGAACAGGAGGGGCTTGACCCCCTACGGAAAAAAGCTATTTACAGTTTACAAATACAAGATGATGTCAGCCAGCTTAAAACCAGCTGATGCAGCCGCAGACAGCGGCCAAATGGCCAATGGGTGCTCTCGGTCGCCACAAGTGTTGGCAGGCACACGTCCAATGCAAATTAAAACGAGCTGCACGCAGCAGCCTAGCAGTGAGTAGTTTCTGAGAACTGGTATGATGATGAACAGCGAGCGAAAGAAGCTGCTGAAGCGGATTTGATGAGCTGCACAGGTGCAGGCAGCAGCGCATTGACGCTCTGTACCTGCCTGCAGCCGGCCGATGGCCACCCCGGGCAGGTCCAGTTTTTTTTTTATCTAAACAGACCCATGCCCTTATATAAGCTGAAATGGAACAAATAGCTCCAGCTTATCTGTTTAGATCAGGCTAGGCACTTTTTTACCAAGAACCGAACCGAACCGAAATATGGGTTTTTCGGTTTTTGGTTTTGGCTCTTGAGTTGCAGAACTTCGGTGTTTGGCTTTTGTTTCGGTTTTGTGCTCTACCTGAACCGAAGAACCATTGAAACCGAAGACACCAGACCTCTCTCTAGCATCGCGAGGAGAGCAACGCATCAGGCGTCCAGGCCACAGTCCCCACGGCCCCACAGTCCAACTCCCATCCGCATACCACTCCAACCTCCATTCCCTCTTCCATTCCCATCCCCATCCCCATCCGCACCCTAACCCTAACCCAAAGGGACCAGCAACTTCACGCCCGCAGGGAGCAGCTCTTCGCGTGACACGCATGGCAGGGGATCCCCTTGGCACCCATGGGCGAGCAAGAAGCAGCTTCGACGACACGCTCAGGAGCTGGGGTCCGATGGTGGCACATCTGCAGCAAGGTCCGGGGCGGAGTAGGCAGGCACGGCTGGAGGTGCAAGCAAGGTGTGGCACATGCCACGGTGAGGCTGCCTAACGCAGACGCAGCGACACCTCATAGCTCGGTTTCTTGGGTTGAAAACCGAAAACAAAAGTAGTAAACCAACACCAAATTTATCGGTTCTCTTTTCTGGAATGAAACAATTTATTCCCTATTCTTGAAAACAGAAATTTTATAAAACCAAACAAACCGAACCGAAATTTCGGTTTAAACCGAACACCCACCATGTTTAGATGTGCTAAATTGTCTCCTTCCGTAAATTAATGGATCAAACTTCTCCGGAAACGAGCACAAGCCGCCAAAGGAGCTGTCATATCATGTCAGCCACAACAACAAATGACCGTCGGTGGGGTCAGCGTCGTCGCACGGATGGCAGGGTAGATGCAGACCCTCATTCATTTGCATGGCATCTCACCTGCCAAGTGTCGGTACATTGAAACCGCGCGCCAGCTGTTCTCAATCGTCGTCGTCGTCCTGGTCGTCCCGCGCGGCCAATGAGCACGTTTGAGAGACGTCTTGTTATTGATGGCACACACTAGAAAGAAATTAGCAAAAAAAAAAATGCTAATGTTGAGTACGTAGAGACTTTGAACCTCACGAACGTGTTCCAAGTGTACGTGCTGTTCCCATTGAGCCACAGCCGGCTGCCCGGCTGTACTACTTCAAGATTTTGTCTCCAAGACATTAGTCTTGCAAGAGAGAGATAGGATTGTCTCCATGAATGAAGTGTGAGTTATTGCTAGCTCTAGCTTTTTTGAGGTCAACTACGGGGATTAAACCGATCCCCACCTGATTTCATTCCATAGATCTCGATAAACCGGTGTGTGGAAGGATGCAATGCACCTATTACAGAGACAATCCTTGGAGGTCACAGAAGTATATGACATAGGAGAAGAGAGAAGGAATACAACACCAACAAAAACAAAACAAACAATAACATGGTAAAGCTACAAGCTCGGCCTACATCTGGAGCTAGTGCAAACACCACATCCCCGACCTGTGCCGCCACCAAAGACAAACTCTAAAGAACTTTAACCACAAGCAGCTGAAGCGAGTCGGGTCCGACAGATGATAGCTAGGAGGTTGTAAAGCACTGAGTCGAAACGAACCGACGACAACCGTGAGTTGCATCGCCTATGAGAGCATGTGGGTTCCGGCCAACGCCCACCAACGCCATTTAGAGATA